CATTCACATTTTTTTCAAAATAAATTGAATACATTTGAAATTGACTCTTTTTAGACGTGGAATCACATGATGTTATGTTGCCCGGTCTCAGCCCGAGTAACATTGCATTGACCTAGCAGCTACGGCCTTGTCCTCCCTTTTCCATGTTCACCGCCACTCAAACCTAAGCGGTCGCCTCTTACCTCCTATCCTACCTTCCCTCTCGATGTTGTGAGAGGCTAGTGACTGGGTGAGCCCCAAAATTGGTCGAAGAAGGTGGCAACAAGGAGGTTCACTCCGGAAGCCTTCGACAACGAGACGATATCTATGAGAAACGGCTTCAAGCGAAAGGTACAAGGGTGTCCCAATGAGGCGGTCCTTCGCTCGGGCATGCGGGCACAACGTCGTGGCCTCGCGCCTAGACACAATGCGTGGATCTGTGCTCTCGCTTGTTTTGAATATTTTTATCAAGAATGTTTCATGTTTACAGAACACTACCGATAAGGAGAAAATTCTATGACATCGTAGGTAAACCGCAACCCGCGGAGCTTTGCAGTGCGTTTGTGGAAAAGGAAAAGGCAGTACACCTTCTCGCACGTGCGGCGCATGGAAGCGAATTTACTTAGACTAGCCACAGTGAGAGTAATTTCAGCAGTAATATCGAGTCCAACTCAGCGAATTTGCTTATGTGGCAATGAGTTAATGAGGAGAGAGGTAGTTACAGTAACTTAGCTAGTTACTGTAACATCACATGTCTCAATGCAATATGAGTCTATAACCTAATAAATGAAGCTTTGCATGTTACCACACTTATGTTACTACCCACTATAAAACTAATAACATAGTCTAGAGATATGTGTATGTTACTCCCTCCATTCCAAAATCTAATGCGCATAGTCTTTAGCTCACATACCAATGAGTGTGCTGGCATTAAATTTTGGACAACAAAGCCCCCACTCCATCTCTCAAACCCGGTCCAAGTAGTAGTACTACTGATTACTACTCCAGCCATCAGCGTTGCCGGTGCTAGTCTCCGGTGCCGCCGTCGTCAGGCGGCTCCTTCTCCGACGTCGACGTTCGCCAGGCAGTTCCTCCTTTTTGTTGCTCCTCCTCATCTTCTTCCTCCTCTCCCCCCTTCATCCTTCAGCCAACGTCACCGTCGTCAGCCGTACGCGGCCGCGGCGGCCGCCAAGAGGCCATACACGGATGCGTTGCTCCAGCTGCTGGTGGCGGACTCGCTGATGCCCGCTGCAGTGGACGCAGAGAAGCCCGCCATGGAGAGAGAAGCTAGGCGGGGACGCGGCGACTCCTCACTCCAGGCATGGTCATGCCGACGTAGAAGCGGACGCACGGGCCAGGGTCTCCTTCCACCCGCGCGCGCTTGCCCGGCGGAGACACCCCACCTCCTCCACAAGCACCACGACGCCAAGAAGTTCGACTTGATGGCCACACCAATAGCCAGATCCCGCTACCGGCGTCCACCGCCGCCGACCCCTCTACCGTCTTCTTGACCGAGTCGTCCAGCTTGATTCTTGCCACCGCCGGTCGGTTCACGCTGCAGACGCGGCGCGCAACTGCACGGGTTGAACGGGTTGGTGGCCGCGATCCGCACCCGGCAGGTGGTGAATATGCTCTGTGCCGCCGACACTCTCGTGTGCGTGCTCGCGCTGGAGCTCCTGCGGCTAGTGAATCTGCTCTGCGCCGGCGACCTTCATGTGCGTGCACGCGCTGGAGCTCCCCCTCCGTGTTGCGAGGCCATGGACACGGCAACGCGGAGGCGATGCATACGGGAGCAGGAGATATGCGAGGAAGAAGACAAGGGACATTTTCGTCAAGAGCGGGGCAAAGTAGCAAACACGCACTACAATTCGAAATTTCCCCCAAAAAACTGTGCGCACTACATTTCGGAACGGAGGAAGTAGTGTATGTTACCATGCATTGTGGCTAGTCTTATCCCGATCACGTCAATCATACCTGGTGGATGAAAGCTCCGAGGATGGCCGTACATGCACGAGCACGAGCTAGCGACATCGCGTCGGCAAAGCCATAGGAAACGGGCGGACAGGACGGCCGGAAAACGGCGGCCACGGAGCTCGGAGGAGCGTGACGTGGGCGTGGACGGGGACGGGGCGGGTGCACGGATAGAGGCAGCGCGATCCAGGCCAGGGGGGCGTGCGCCGGCGCCGGGACCGCCGACCGTGTCACGGCTCGGCATACGCCACTGATGATCGGGGCGCGCGTCGTGTGAACCGTCGGCTTTGGTCTAGGGTGGGCGATCGGGCCTTGCTTGCGGCTCCACGGCTGGCAGAAAATATATGCGTCCGCTCTGATGTGAGTGAGAGATCTGTTTTGAGACTTTGATCTTGATTGATTGAGCCTAACACGCTTTGCCACTCGATGCTAAGACAAGACATGATTCGAGCCCGATATCTTTCTTCTGCCTCTCCACATGTCTACGGCTAGGCTTTGACCTTTCGCAAATCATCAAATGCCAGCCCACATGCACGCATGTTCCACGCACACAACACGCATCTCTCCGTGTTTAATCTAATTAATCCGTCGTCGTACGTAGAGATACGAGAGACGGAGAACCGAATGCGATATCATAATATAATGCCTCTGGCAGAGAAGTGACAATATTAATTTTAGTAGGTGTACATTCTTCACTCGCCAATTCGTCATCTAACTCTTTTGCTTTATGCTGCAAGCGGGGCATGATTTGGTCATTATTTTGCTCCGAGCAAAGCAACTGATTTTTTCAAAAGTTCATATTATAATCCCGAGTTCAAATGCACCCTGATAAACAACAAAATAAAAAAAAACTGCTTTTTGGAAAACGTTGACAAATGTTTTGTATGCTTGCAAAATTTCATCACGATATGACATTCGTGGAAGTCATTGCAAAAAACACAAAATCGGGACTCCAAAATGCTTGCAAAACTAGCATTTTTGGAACATCGATTTTGTTTTTTCGGCCACGACTTCCACGAATGTCATTTCGTGCTATAATTTTGCAAGCATGCAAAACATTTGTCAAAGTTTTACCAAATTTTTTTTGATTTTTTAATTGTTTTTTTACTACTTTATCGATTTTACTCTTCATCAGGGGGCATTTGAGCTCAGGAGCATATATTCCACGTCCCTGATCTTTACATCGCTCGGGGCATGTTAGACGCCGACCCTCAAACCACCCGCAATCGTTTGGATCGTACGGTCCGGACGTGTTTTGCCATTCAACACGGTCCTGCATCGGTTCATAGATCGGTCCGGACGCGGGTGGCAAAGGTAGGTGGTTACAGCATCTACAGACGGAACCCTCATATCCGTCCCAAACATAAGGTGGACTGCCCGAACAGAAAATTGCCATCCAAACGGACCTAGCAAACGCAACCTAAAAAATCTGAGCCGGCCGGCACAACCCATACCCAACCCATGTGCGGGGCGGATATGGGACGCTCGGACGCATCCGTCACGTCGGATCCGGCCCACTATGGCCAACCAACCCCACACATATTCATTCATATCCGCATCACGGACCAAACCCTAGCCACTCCATTTCCGCCAAGCTTCTTTCTAGTGATCTCCGGTTTTCTCTTGCATGGCATGCAATGGGTATAACTCCGAGATCTTCCAATCCGTCGACTTGAACCTCATCCCATGCGGGGACGAGGAAGATTTGACTGTCTCGAATGGCTCTCCAGCAGTCTCGGGAGGAAATTCTAGCTCCGCAGTCGGAGCCGCTTCCGGCAAATCCATTGTGTCAACGCAAATGACGCTTGTGTCCGATGGCGCCAGCGGCTCAAAGCGCGTAACCACTGCAAACACTGGCTGGCGTGCGCCGCAATCCGGCGCAACCCCTACGGTGGCTCCTCATCCGGGCACACATGTGGATGGATGTATGGGGGGCCGAATTTGTTGTAGATGATCTCCTTCCCTCCGCACATTCGTTTCGGCGGCGGCTATTTTTGGACAGAGGGTATCCGTTGAATTTTAGACCCGGAGACTTATACATGTGCAGTGCAGGAGCAGGTGCAAAGGGAAGGGAGGAGAGATTCTAGAACATGTCCAGCCAGCAATCACCCGTCAAGTCGTCGTCCAGGTCGTCGCTTCCGCCACCGCCGGTACACACTCTCCTCTGCCGACCTCGGCCTCGCTCCGATCCCCGCAGTGATTTTCCGGGACTAGAGTATTCCTTCCTCCCGCACGAGACACGACTATTCTCCTTCTCCCGGCGACGTCACCGCGGTGACGTCCGGTAAGCCGGTCACCGCCCCCGACGGGCCGTGACCCCATCACACCCTCACGCGCACCACTCAAGCAAATCCCGCACGTTCCTGTCCCTATTCTAGGTGTGTGTGGTATCTCGCGGAAGCAGCCAAGAGAGAGGAGGAGGAAGAGGGGGCTAAAAATAAGCACGGCGCGCCGTGGATAATCCTTTTCCGGGCAGCCAGCCGCGAAATTTCCTTCCCGATAAGAGCAGACGCGGGCGGCGCTTCCGCGTTTGGTTCGCCCCACCCACTTCCTCGCAGATTTCCGGTACCTGCCGCCGGCCGCCGCCTCCCCTTCTCGTCTACCTTCCAAAGTCCGCGTGCGTGTGTGCCGGCCGTTCCGTCCCAGCTTCTTGTGCCTCTTGTGGCAGGAACAAAATCCGCGAGTTTCCTCCTGCTTGCCTGGGGTTCTTGGGAGAGATTCATGCTCCCTTCGTGACATCTTGCCATCTTTTTTTTGCTCGATTCGCATGGTTTTCTTGGGTTCTTGCCGGAGGATTTGCCCCTTTTAGAACCGGATTCCTCCGTAAGATCCGGCTCCGCAATCATTTGAGCTCGTGCGGGAGGCTCTGTTTCTGCTCAGTCGTCGGAGCATGGGACAAAAGCTTCCGTCCTTCTGGTGGGTTCCTCCGGGAGCTCGGATTTGACACCACCATGCCAAGCATCATCACCAAGTAGACGCGAGCGAGCTTCTAGAACCTTCTAGTAGTAGCCCCCCCCTGCCCACTCGCCCCGTCCACGCGACATACATACATGGAGACGTCGACCGTCACCTACTCCTCCTCCTCGCCGCCCCCTTCCTCCTCGCCGCCGCAGCAGGCCGAGCAGGCCGCCGACCTCGACGCCGTCAGCCTCGGCCGCCTCAGCGCCAACCTCGAGCGCCTGCTCGACCCGGCCTTCCTCAGCTGCGCGGACGCCAACGTCGTCCTAGCGGCCGGGGGAGACGACGCCGCCGCCGTCGTCGGCGTCCACCGCTGCATCCTCGCCGCCAGGAGCAGCTTCTTCCTCGACCACTTCTCCAATAAGCTCGCCGACCCCGCCGCCGCCGGCGAGAAGGAGAAGGAGAAGGAGAGGCCGCGGCTGGAGCTCGCGGACCTGGTCCCGGGCGGGCGCCACATCGGCCGCGACGCCCTCGTCGCCGTTCTCGGGTACCTGTACACGGGCCGCCTGAAGCCGCCGCCGCGGGACTCCGCGGTGTGCGTCGACGAGCGCTGCCCGCACGAGGCCTGCCGCCCGGCGATAGACTTCGTGGTCGAGTCCACCTACGCCGCCTCCGGCTTCCAGATCTCCGAGCTCGTCTCGCTCTTCCAGGTAGGAGTAATAAGCAACAGATACTACCTCTGACAACCTGCACAACACATACATATATACACCTGACGATGCATTTTGTTACAGTGCAAATTGTTCATCATTTCTGGTGAAAGAAAAGAAATTTGTTGATCAGTGAATCACCCAAATGTGAAGAAATTTGATGTTGATTCTGATTTTGCAGCGTCGGCTGTCAGACTTTGTGAACATAGCTCTGGTGGAGGACATAGTGCCCATCGTTCACGTTGCGTCCACCTGCCAGCTCCATGAGCTGCTCAGCCAGTGCATCCAGCGGGTGGCAGGATCCAGCGTCGACAGCCGGTACCTCGAGAAGGAGCTCCCAGACGATGCATTTGCCAAGGTGAAGGAGTTCCGGCGATACTCGCTGCACGACGATTCAGACGAGTTCATTCTGGACCCCGAGCATGCCAAGAAGGTCAGGAACATCCACAAGGCCCTGGACTGCGACGATGTGGACCTAGTTGGCTTGCTACTACAAGAGTCTGCGATCACCTTGGATGATGCATTGGCAATACACTATGCCGCTGCATATTGTGAGCCTAAAGTGTTGGCTTTGCTCTTGAAGCTGGACCCTGCTGGTGACTGTGTTAATGTGAATCTGAAGAATGATAGTGGGTACACACCGCTGCATTTGGCGTGCATGAGGCGAGAGCCGCAGATCCTTCTCTCTCTTATCGAGAAGGGCGCGTCCGTGGTGGAGAGGACGCAGGATGGGCGCGACGCGCTTACCATCTGCAAGAGACTGACAACAGAGAAAGACTGCAACAAGAAGCTGGAGAAATGTAAGGAGAGAAGCAAGGCTTACTTGTGCATTGACATCCTTGAGCAGGAGATCAAGAGGAAATCCTTCATCTTCGAGGAGCTCCTTTCGGCGGAAGTTTCGGTTGCCACACCTTTGCTGGTAGACAATTTCCACATGAGGCTCATAAACTTGGAAAACAGAGGTTTGTACATATTACTTTGGTTCAATATAGTCTGTAGTTGGCCTTCTCAGTAAGACCATAGTGAGGTGCATTTGTGCTGTGGTGTTTTAATATTTGATCTCATGGTAGAGACTAGAGAGAGTTTTGAGAATTCGGTGCTCTTTTCCTTCTCCTGAATTTAGAAGCACAAGTTCCTGACAGGCTTAGTTTTTTGTTGCATTGGGTTCTCAATATGCTCTGTTAGCCCAAACTATGTGTTTTTCTTTTCAAATATCATCTATATCATAGAACATCAAATTATCTCTTTCTTAGTACTCCCCCTCTAAACTAATATAAGAGCGTTTAGATTAGTATTTTAGTGATCTAAACACTCTTATATTAGTTTATGGAGGGAGTATTTGCTATTTGTGATAGCGATATGCTCCAGTTACTTGCTATGTTGTGTAGCACAAAAGGAGGAAATCTAATACTGAAAACAGTAACAGCAGAGTTATACTGCTGCTTCCTTTTCTTTTCCCAGCTAGAAAGAAGCATACAATTCTTAAAATCATTGCTGAAATATATTTTTGTGTGTCTATGCAGTTGCCTTTGCAAGAATATTCTTCCCTTCCGAAGCCAAGCTTGTGATGCGCATTGCACAAGCCGACTCAACCGAAGAGTTTGCCGGTCTCACGTCAGCTAATTTCAGTAAACTGAAGGAGGTTGACCTAAATGAGACCCCTACAATGCAGAACAAGAGACTGCGTGAACGCCTTGATGCATTGACAAAGACAGGTGATTTTAACATAATCATGCATCTGTTACGAAATGGGAATTGCTTCAGTGTTTCTCTGTGCTAATAGATCTGTGGTCTTCGAGCAAACAATGGCTAGAATTATGGACAACGCATTAACAGACCAAAGTATGATACACAGAGAAATGGTTTCGCTTTATGCAAAAGATTCGATGCACACATCTTGCTTATGCCATTAGCTGTATGCATCGTCTGATGCAGAGGCCGCGGGTAAACCCTCTTTTTAGGAAAAAAAATAAACATCTTGCTTATGCCAAGATATCGTCATGTACAACTTATGAGATAGTTCAATCTAGTAGGATAGGAACTAATTAAAGGGCAGATTATATTGTTGTCCTGGTATGCGATGATGGTTTTCGAGACCTAGCATACAATTTTTTATTTGGCTTACGTTCTGTTCAACAAAAACGTGCTTGCTTGAGCTAACAGATATTTCTTTGGTCTTCAGCCTTGCTTTTAGTATTATGTTTTCTTGACCACATGTCCCCTCAACTTACACTGCCTGTTTTGCTTTAATATGCACAAACTATTTGCAAATAGGAGTCTTATGCAAACGAACAACTTCTAAACTCTTCCAGTACTCTTCTTTATGGATAATTATGTCACTGGTCTTCTTTAGCTGATTAAGCTCACAGAGTATTAAACAAACTTGTGTTTCTGTTTCAGTTGAGCTAGGGCGAAAGTACTTCCCGCATTGTTCGGATGTTCTCGACAAGTTCCTCATGGAAGAATCCACAGATCTGCACTTCCTGGAAAGCGGCAGTGCCGAGGACCAGTACACCAGGAGGACGCGCTTCTCTGAGCTCAAAGAGGATGTGAGGAAGGCCTTCAGCAAAGACAAGGCTGTTGCAGCCATAGCCTCATCGACGTCCTCGTCTTCACCGAGAGGTGATGGAAAGGTTAGTAGACATGGTCACAAGAAGGCGAGGCTGTCGCGGTGATACATGTGCTCGGTGTCGCCATGTCGGTAGGTTAACGCCGGATCCGTCGCGCGTGATGGTTTGAGAGAGGTGGGGTGGGGGGAAGCTAGCAAGGTTTTGTTGACAGTTTGTAGTGCAGGGAAACCATGTATGTAGATGTAACCAAGCAAGCATATCGGTTCTAGCTTGATTGTTGCTTGGTGCATTTCTTGTAGTTTACTGTGGTTTGACATGTGACAGGCTTCAGTAGATGATTTTCGATCGCCGGTGGGCACTCTTCACAGTGATTATATCCATCTTGCATGCTCAGGCCTCTTGGTGGTATCAACTGATTCTGAAGGTTGAGCCATGATAAATATGCACGGGCTGTTAATCCTGTAGAGACCTCCAGGGATTAGTGCACAAACATGAAACATGAATAGTAGTGTTGGAGGTAAAAAATTCCACACGGACAGTGAATTCGATCAAAGAAAAATTAGGGGAAAAAAATGACATGAAACCTCGTCGACCATTCTACTCATGAACGGAGTTCCGTGAGGGATGACACCCTAGTGAAGAAAATACAACCGACCATCCTATTGCTTGAAACAATATTTTCGAATATAGCTTTGATTTCGTCATTCCTTTTGCTAGAATATCAAGGGTGTCATTTTCTCGTGAAACTTTATTACTCCCTCCGTCTCATAAGGCAAGACTTATGGGACGGAGGGAGTATATGCTAGTATACCAGTTGGCCATGTATGTTATATGGAGAAAAAAATTACACGTCCATCGGTCATGCGATCATTGAAACAGTGGTCTCCGCAGATTTGAAGCCCTAAAAGCAGAGGGCAAAAGGAAAAGAAGAAGAAGAAAAGTGAGCCCTTTGCCCTCCCTAGATTTGCTGTGTAGGTGTCCCCTGGCATGTTGGCTCGGTGGGCAGCAAGAAAGGAAGGCAGACGGATAGCTAGATAGATTGATAATTGTTGCTGTTGGTGTCTGGAGCTGCTGCAGCCGAGTGCTACCGGGCATCCGTTCCCTTCCAGCGGTTGGCTGGTGCTGCAGCGGAAGAGAAAGAAAAGGGGGCGACCGTTTCGTTCGCACGGGACGATCGAGAGCACCTGGCGCCCACTAACCGAACCAGACTCCATCGTGGCCTCTTGTCTCGCTGGAGCCGTCGGGTAGGTTGGGTTGGGGGTCACATGCGAGTTCGCGGCTGCCCGTGTAACGCTGTCCCCGGCCGGAGGGACGGTGGGTACAGCCGGTGCCGTGTTCGTCGAAATGAGAGGCCCAGGCCAACCATATCCTATTACTAGTTTCTAAAAAATGTTTCAAAAACTGTTGTATTTCCGTTCATTTATAACGGAAGGGAGTTCAAACGGGTTCAAAAAAAAAGTTATTCCCTTCGTCTTAAAATAAATGTCTCAAGTTTAGTATTCTCTCCGTCTCATAATATACGAGTGTTTTTGACACTACACTAATGTAAAAAACGCCCTTACATTATGAGACGGAGGGAGTACAACTTTACATTAGAATTAGTATAAAGTTGATACACTTATTTTGGAATGAAGTTTTGGCAAAATTTCACTATACTAGTTCTCACCGGTACCCTTCATATCCAGCCCAAATATGGAGCAAAGCCTAGCCACTTCACTACATTCCCCTCCATCACCCGAGCTCACCTCCAGCGGTTTTCGGCTTTCTCCGCCATGGCAGGCAGCGGATGGGACTCTGACCAGTCCGGATTCGTCGATTGGGGTGTCATCTAGTGTGGGTTCGAGGAGGCATTGGCAGTCTGCATTGCACTTTGCCGCTCCCGGGAGGACAACACCCAGTCGACGGAACACCTCTGCATTGCACTTCGCCACTCCGCGGCGACGCCATAGCGTCGGCTCATCGGGCGCTCGGATCCTCTGGTGTTGGATCCTCACGGTCCCGGCGTCCGGAACACCTCTCCTTCCCCATCACCGGTCGAGCAGAGTATGAGTCCCACCGGAAACAGGCGGCTCGCCATGGGAAGGAGATGATAAGGGCTGCCGAGGCCCGTATCGAGGCGGAAATGATGGCGACGGGGCGGCTGATGCGGCGGCGCGGGCGGCCGCAGAGGAGGAAGCCATCCGCGCCTGCATTGTGAAGAAACGGCAGCGGAGGAACACGTGCGCCCTCGCCCGAGAGCAGAATCGGGCGGTCTGTGCCATGGCTGGACTGCCACCGAAGGAGGAGCAGGAGGACAGCTCCGGCGACGAGCAGATCCGGCTCGATCCGTACTGCGTCTTCGACCGGTATTTCCGCGAGAAAGACGACAAGGGCACGGGGAAGGGCAACGGCAGACGTGGATGAACTTCACCATAGCCAAACATGCCAAATTTTGATAGTCCGATTACATGTTTAGTTAGTAGTGATGGAGTAGCCGGACGATGTGTGTGCATCAACGTAGTTGTATAAGTTTGTATGAATTTGAGATATGATAATTGAGGTGTCCGGACGTGGATTGCATTATTTGAGGGGTGCCCGATCAGTGCCTGCGAACGCGCCCGGGCGGATACGCGGGCGTTTGAGGGACCAGATTTGCCCAGTCCGGCCGTAGATGCTCTAAATTAATTCACATAATCTGCTCATCATTTATCTAGTAAAATCAGTTCACGTGGCGGTTGAAAGCGCATGGCCAGTAACCAGTCGTCCATCCATGGCCAACGATCGATAGATCGATCAAATCTATCAACGTCGCCCGCTTGCCAAATCCTACTCCGTTCCCGACAGTGACGCCACGACACTTGGCGAGTCTCCCTCGAATTTATTTATTTTGTCCATATATATGAAACGTGTGACTTTTCACAACAGGGGTATATTTGAATTTATTGTTTGAAACTTAGTTTCTTTCTGCGTAGTGACTAGTTAAAAACGTATCTCAAGCTTTAGAATTTTTAAAGATTAGAGAATGTGTAGCAACTACCATTATAAATTTCCATAAATGTTACTAGGATCATTTCTGCGCACTGTTCACCCATCACAATTTGAGTTACGCGCCAGCGTCGCTGCAGTACAGGGCTACAGGCTAATGTTGCGATTCATCTTGTGGTTGTTTCTATAGAATGAATGTTTTTGTTTTTTTCAAAAATTGTGGGTGCAAGGCCTCTTTTTCGTCCTCTTTTTTTGTGGGTGCGGGGGAAGAATTACCCATTCTCAGTGTCAATGATGTCCGCTCTGCGCCAGTGAATGCTTATACTCGGGGTGAAGTGTGGTTACGAATCCTCGGGGCGGCGGTGATCAATACCTTCCATCTAGCTCACGATGTAGTCCACTCTCACTGCGTGTTTGGTTCAGGACATGTGGAGTTAACCGCCACTAGTGCCTTTTTTGGCCTGTATAGAGCCATGATAGATACAAGCTCTGCAAATGAATGACCTACAGGTGTGTAAGCCGAGCCCAACGTCACGATCTTTGAAGAAGAGCAAATAAGCACAATGTTCGGTGCTCCCGGAGTTTTCCCCTGTACGATTGCGGCAGTCGGGGAGCACGGTGAAGCGATCTGGGCGTAGGCTCGGCCCCTTGATGCCCTACGGCTTCGCCGGCGATGCCACCGCTGTGATGCAGACCCGGTTGCGTGTGACTTCTCGTCCGCGTGTGGACTCGGTCACCCATTACCCTTGGGCCGCATCAACGGATGGTCTTGGTTGATTTGGAGCTCTTCGTCTGCGGTGGTGGTGTTGCCGTGGATCCTCCCGTTCGTGAGGACGATGAAAAATGATGGCATTTCGGTCTTTTTCTTTTCTTTTCTTTTCTTTTTCTCTTCTGTTGTGTCTGGTGCGATCTACTCCTTAATGAATAACGGAAATGTTAACGCCCACACGTGTGGCATGGCGTCCACTGCTTATCGCCGTCCACTGCATTTCGCACGAATCTTGACACGATGCTGGGATTCCGAACTGCCACGTAGGACTAGTGAAGTGTGTGGCGTGTATGCCACTTCGCCCGCACGCCGTTTTGCCCCGACGACGACGGTTTTCATAGTCAGCGCGTGCGGTGGAACTGCCATCTCGCCCGCACACGATCTCGAACGCGTGGTTGCCATATTGCACGACTCGCCACTCACCCCTCCCCGCACTGGTGATCTCTCGCTCCCTCACCATTTACTCCCCAACCCACCCATTCTGCAGCGGTTCCAATCGATTCGGGAGGAGTCGAGAGGAGAAGGCGGCGGCGGTGGCGGAATAGTCGACGGCATTCGCGGCGGTTGTTGGGATTCGCCGGCCGGGGACGTTGTCGCCGGAGCAGCTGCAGGCCGAAGGTAAGCCTTCCGCCGTGGTCACACCCATTCCCCCGCGATTCATATCCCCTTTCTGTGCTTGCTCGATTTCCCATCGGGATTTCTCGAGATCCCGGCGTTTTTCGCGGTGCGCATGTGTTGCCGCCGGCGAGGAGTCGGTTGTTTTGCTCACCCCTCCCTGCACGGTAGCTTGTTATGGTCTCGTCGCCGTCTCTCTCGCCGTCAAGCCGGCGAGACTCACCGAATCCCCAACCGCATGTGCTCTCGCAACTGCTTTTTGGGATGGCGATGTTGATGCTGTTTAGTTCATTATGTTGCTCCTGAAATGCTATTGCCGTCAGTGTCGAGGCGTTTGTGTTGATGAAATTGATGTTATGCTAGTTGAGGACGAACCCTAGATCTATTTCAGGCGCATTTCAGAGTTTTGAGAATGATTGTCATGACAATTTGAAACAACTGCCACCACTAATGGCAACTGATTTCTGAAATTACTGTGTCAGTTGCCTTGTCAGTGGTGCATTTTAGGCGCATGTCAGATTGTATGAGAATGAAAGTCAAGTCAATTTCAATATCTACCACCTCTGATGGCAACTAATTTTTGAAACAACTGTTTCAGTTGCCATGTAATTGGTACGACAATGTTACTGTTTGGTTTTGTTTGAATCTACTTTTTAGGTGCATTTCAAATTGTTTGAGAATGATTGTCATGGCAATTTCAACAATTACCACCACTGATGGCAACTGATTTTTGAATCAACTGAGTCAGTTGCCATGT